TGAACAGGCAAGATTAGTTAACCATTTGTATAGGAAGATTTTACCTCAAATTTAGAAATAATAATGAATATCATATGTTTTGGGAACTGTTAAAATGTCATTGGTGTAACAACTGACAGAAAACGTTTATTTATTCATTGACTTTGTCAAATAACTACTAAGTGTCCATTCCAGAAGATAAGAAGATAAAAGGCAAAAGTTTGAAGCACACCCTATAGAGTTATTATTGAACATCCATTGTAGCTCAAGAGGCAGTTTAATTTTCTGTGTGGAAGGCAGAAAAGCCTGAAGAACAGGAGAACTGTGTTTGAGAGAACCAAACATGCTCCTGGGCCTCCTGAACTGCTAATTCCTTTTCCTAAACTATTTTCCTGGCTGGTGTAAAACTCCTTTATAGAGAGGGCATTTCCTAGACTGTTCTGGTCATCCACTCCTTTCTCAACTTTTGTACAAGAGAATAAGAGAAATACAAAAGGACAAATAGCCTGCTCTGTTCTGAGCATCCTCATTGCTTCCTTTTAGTCCCATAACCAGATGACACCCTGCTGTTTATCAAGCCTAAGTGAAGTTTCAGCCTTCCTCAAGATCCAGTGGAATAGCTTTGAATCCAACAGAGACATTTCTATTTTAGTTAATTTTGAGGTTCAGCTCCCGTGGGCCCTTGTATTCAATGCCTGAGTAACATCTCTGTCCCCCTGGCTGCAGGGATGCTCCTGTGATTCAAACCCTTTCCCAGGTTGTTTTTGGTTACACCTCCCTTACTCCTTTCCTGTGCCACAGAAACATGCAGTGCAATTTCTATTGATTTCCAGAGATTTATTTCCCAGGGCAGCAGCAAGGGCAGGCTCCAACTGGTCACTCTTGGCCAGACTAAACCACCTTCAAACAGGAACTGTTCATAAAGGCAGAATCAACAAAATCTTGGATCATTTCACTGATCTAGTGTATCTGGGTGCTCTCAGCTCCTTCCTGACATCTGTCACTCACCTTCCCTGGATAAAGAGACTGAGAAAGTAAGGATATCAGAAACATGCTTTAAGTTGATGAGATGTTTGAGATGCTTTGTTGTAATTATTTGAAGATGGAAGGATTACGGAGCACCATCCTAAACTGACCTCCCCACTACTCCTCCCCAGTGCTGTATCCTGTGTTACTGCACTGCATCTAAGGGTGCTGGGAGGTGCTGGATCACCATCCCAAACAGTTTTACTGACCCAGGGGGTACAGGGAATTCTCCTGTTCTGTCCATGTGCTTCAGCTCTAGTTCAGCAAGTCAGCACCAAGCCCACCCTGCCCTCAGAAAGGAGAATCCCAGGCTGGCAGGGATGAAGAGGTGGGTAATTCTAGATACAAAATCTTTCCAGAACAGCACATCAGCACTCCTTCAGGAGCTGGTCATGCACTTTTCAGCCTGAGAAACAAAACCAGTCCATGTCTCATCCTCTCCCCCAGTCATAACATGAATTATCATCTTTATTAAGATGAGGGGAAGGGATTTGGTTATCTTAGCAGGATCCAGCTCTAAAATCATCTCAAAGCCCATCAGCCTCACTAGAGCTGATGTGCCTTCAGGACAAAAGGAAATCGAACAAGACCCCACCACCACCACCAAACCCAACTCAGTGTGGAGAGCAGAGACTCATTTATGTGTAGGTGCTTTGCTTCCCTCTCCTCTGAGGTACAAGCAGGTGAAAGGCACTGAGGAAGAGAGAAGCCACTCCTAATAAAGGGCTGAATGTTGGGTGAGCCAAGCTCCCAGGATATGTGTGCACACCAGGACATTTCACCTGCCAGGATCTGACCCAGCTGAAACGTCCCCATTACTTATGGCCAAGTTAGAAAGGGGTGACTGTTGCTTCAAAGACAGGTTAGCAGGAGTGAGAAAGAACAACATGCACCCAAAAACTTCCTGTTCTACACCTCCTTCAGTTACTTTCCAATTGGTTTGTTGAGATGCAGGATCACTGAGTAAAATAATATATTGTGATATTGAAGGGATTTTTCAAAATGCTAATTTATTGTCTGACACTGAATGAACAGTCTACTTTGCACTGGTGCTCACTCTAAAGTCAGTGTTCTGCCAGCCCTGTTTCCTGTTACTTACACAGCTCCCATCATGGATAAAAGCCATGGTGTGTACATCCAAAATAATTCATATTTAGAGGATTAGCTATGAAATATTCATATTTATGTATGTACTGTTTGTAATCTGCAGTTTCATTAGAAAGGATACAATTTACCTCAAAACAAAAGCATTAGCACTCTGTTAGTGGTGTTGTATTTATGGGCTTCACATACATTTGCAGATACTTCTATTCTGAAAGAAAAAACAGCATTTTTATATGGAGAAATGCAGTTTATCAAAAGAAGATGGTTTTGGATAAGAGGAGAAAATTTACAATATGTTGGTGTTTTTTGCCAAAAGTAATATAAAATCTCTTTTTCCCCCCACAAAATTCAAATCCAAAAAATTTATATCAACCCAGCATCTCATTCTGCTGTTGTTTGTCACAGTAGTAAGTCAGTAGTAAAGTCTGGAGGATCAGACTCACAGTGTCAAACTGAAAATGGTGCCACAGGAGAAGTTTATCAAGTGCCTTTTGTGTTAGGAGCTGGGCTAAGGGGACTCACTCATTTCTTCTAATGAAAGCAATATTGCACTATAATTTGTCTATATGAGAAACTGGGTTCAGTTAGATTAAAAGCATAAAAAACCCCAGAAAGATTCATTCTAGTGAGAAACAATAGATAAAACAGACAAGACTTGGGGACAGCCATGGAAGCCCTGAGAATGTGGTGGATAAATGGGGTGTCTTGAACCAAACCACACCACCTCAATACCACTGCAGGAGTGTATTTTCTCTATGAAGTCATTTGAAACTGTTAAACTTTCATAAAGCAAAACAGCTCCAAATATCAGTGCTCACACTGGGTGGCACCACAGGAATCTCCCACATAGTCAGTGTGGATATTCCAGCTGGCTTCCACAACTGGAAAAAAAAAAGAAAATATAAATATCCTTAGCCAGGTCCTTTCTGTTTAGAGGATCATTCTGAATTTGTCCCAAATTTTTAAAGATCTGAAAGAATTCACTGCAGCCTCCTTCCTCCCCACTTGACAGCAGTTTATCACCAATTCCGTTTCAGCCCTATTTGACATTAAATTGATGACCACAAGCCTGAGGGTGTGTGGGGCAACCACACACCCCAGCTTCTCATCATGCTGACAACGAAGTTGATTCTTCTTTTACCTTTGCAAGTTAGCCAAAATTACCAATAAATTACCTGCCACTACTTCCAGTGAAGATGTTAATCCCAGGATTTAAACTGCCACTACTGTGATACTTGCATCTCTCAAAGGCAGAATTTGCAAAAATCTGAAAAATCAAAGCCATGGAAAGCCAGTGAGGGTGTGTTGGACACATTACCAACAAAGCTAAAAAAATGTACAAATGAGAAACACTATTTTGTAAAGTTTCAGGAATTTGAGTTCTAGCACAAGGGCCTTACTCTCCAAACATATCCCATACCCAAAACTTCTTTGCACTAAGAATGAAGTAGGACACTTGTCCATAACCTTCGATTTAATGCTACAGCATCATTTTAATTGTCAGAAAATTCAGTTTTGGTTTTTGCACACAAGATATTGGTAAAAGCTCAGCACATTTCTTGGCTGTCTGTCCTAAATCCCTATAAAGATCCTCAGCCAACAGTCAAGTGCTTCCAGAAAATGAGCAAACCTTCCCTACATGCTGATTGCCCTGGTTCTGTGTGTATGTTTCTAGGTGCTTGTCTCAGTCTCAAGCACCAGCCAACGATAACATACACTGGCTTGGAGCCATTGTCTTCTTTCTAAACATATTGTGACTGTAAAACATGAAGTGGTGTCTCCCAAAGGAAGAGAGCAAACATTGCTGAGACCTCTCTGATAACATCCATCCTTGTAACCAGCACTGCACTTCCTAAATCCACAGAATACTCAAAAGAAAAAAAATTGTTAGCCCTGATTTCAGCAGGAAATAAATTCTCTGTTTGTTCAACTGGCACATAGCCAGATATAAAAATATATCCAGGCCAGATTCGACAGCCAAGCTTGGTATATGGCATTTCCAGCAATTTTTTTGCATCAATAAAATTTTGGTTTACTGATGCTGAGCAGCTAATGGGAGGTTTTGTTTTAATTTGGGGTGAGAGGAGGATTCTATCTGCTAAAATCCTGAATCCATTTTCCCATAATTTCTTCTGTTTACCTTCCTTCCATTGCAATCCCCCATAAATACATCTCATGGAAATTAATTCCCATGTATAATCATGCTATCAGTTGAGTCTCTAAGGGAACATTATTGTTTAACTTTTGATACTGCCTCTGTGGCTTGTCTCAAAAGGATGTTTGACTTGGCAATACATTACTGGAGTTATTCTCCTTTAAGAAGATTTATTATTGAACTCAAATAATGCATTTATAGATTTTATTCTTATTTAACCAGAGTAAAGCAGTTGCAACCAAACAATCCCACTCTGGATGAGTCTCTTCCCACACTACAAATCAGTTTCTTGGGATGCTGACTCTCCCCACAAACCAAAGCAAGCCCTGTGCCACAAAAGCAGGCTCCTGTGGTTCATTTTTACCCAAAACTTTCTCTGCAAAACCTTGGAGCCTTCTTACACCCCTAACAACAGACAATTCCTCTCTTCTTCCACCCCTAACAATTCCTCTGTTCCTCTTGGAGCTCACCTTTTGGAATTTCCCCTTTCCTCCTTGTGCACTTGGGTTCTTTCAGCATCAGTCAGTTCATGGAACAAAGGCTCTGGCAGGAAGAAGCCATGAGAATTATGGCTCATACAGCCCCGGCACCAGCAGGATATTCCCAATAAACAGGGGAGCTGCTGCCGGTGTCCCCCTGGAGTGTCCCCGCCTTTTCCTAAGGGCAGGAGCTGGTGCAGTGGCTGTGCCTGAGGCTCTGTGACAAGTGACACATTTCTCTCTCTCTCTCTGCACAGCAATAGCCTCGAACCAGAGCAGCGTGTCCAGCGCCTTCCCCAGCCCCGGAGAGCACGGCGGTGACACCAACCTGCTGGTGTCCCCTCTGCTGGTGGCAGGGGTGGTCATCGGGCTGGTGCTCTTCCTGTCGTGTGCCACCATCGTGGTGGGCAGCCTGCGCAAGGACAGCAGGCTCGGCCAGCCCCGGCTGCCCAGGGAGGCTGCGGACGGTAAGGGAGAGGGAGCAGGGAAAAAGGGACCGAGCGGGAATGAGGGCAGCAGAAAACACCCGGCCACTGCAAGGGCTGGGAAATAATGAAATGCAATGCAATGCAATGCAATGCAATGAAATGAAATGAAATGAAATGAAATGAAATGAAATGAAATGAAATGAAATGAAATGAAATGATGATGAAATGATGAAATGATGGGAGCCGTCAGTCACGGACAGCTTGGCAGTGTAATGGCACCTCTGTGCTGGGACTGGGTTCCCGGAGCACAGCCCGTAGATGATCCCTGACAGAACCCAGCCAGTGCTGGCAGCACCTCCTGAACAGCTCCTTTCCCCTGGCATGGGAGAAGATTTATTCTCTCTTGCATTTTCACATCCCCCTACAGCCTTGGTGCAGCATTTACTGTAATTTCTATTTCTTGAAGAGGCAGAGCTGTTCTCACTTCAGCCAAGTGCACCAGCCTACAACACTCACTGGGTAAATGCTGTTTGTGTGAGTGCAAAAGTGAATATCTGCCTGGAAACTGGGCACCCAAAAAACTTTAAACTGTCACCATCATTAACAATGTCATTGATGACACATCGGTGTCATTACAACAGTCATCATCGTTAGAGAGTCAAAAAAGGTGCCACTTCCTACCCCCTAACCAAAATAAAACCCATGAAACAAAACCAACACGTAACAAAAGACCTTAAAGATAATTTGGGAATATCAAAGGAGTTAATTTTAGAGTAGTGTTTTCAGCCCTTTTGGGCTTTGCTGACACGAAGCCACTTTGTCAAGGAAATGACAGGTTATTTCTATTTAAGGGGAAAAAAACAGTTTTAAAAGTTACTGTGTAATTCTTCAGATAGCAAAAATTCAAATGATAAATGGTGGAGCATCAACAACTCACATTGTGAGCAGGCTCCTCCACTGCAGTTTGTTATGGGTGCAGTTCTGTGCATATAATTGAGGGGTTTTTATTTGTATAGAAAAGCCAGTAATAGTGAGCCACATAAAAATGCATTGGCTTAAGTGTTGTTTTCATTGAGGTAAATTTAGTATCCATTGGAGTCAACTGAACTTTATTTAGTTATTTGGACCAGGAGTTTTTCTGTCTAAACTAAACAAATCTCCTAGGATTAGTCTGTCCTCTTGGAGCAAGGATTAACTTCTTTTTGGCTGTCCCAGAAATATTTATTCAGATAAGTGAATAACATCTATATTTTGGCAATAAAATTCAGAGTCCAAAAGAATTGAAATGCAAACTACCATGCCAACCTACAGAGGGAAAATAAAAACAAAATCCAGAAAACTAATGTCTGCTATTACAGTAATAAAAATTTTCCTAATTTTCAGCAGCTGCATTGAAGATTAAATAGTTAAACCCAAACTGGAGTTACTGTTTGACCCAATATTTTGGCATGATAAAATACTAGCCATTAAGCTTTAATCACTGTGTTTAAATCTACTACTCTGGTAGTTTCATCTCCTTGACAAAGCCTAGAGCAAGGCAAAAACAAAAAGAAAATTTTAAAAGGAAAAAAAGGAAAATTTTCAAACTGCTTATTAGAAATAACAATGCTAGAGAAATGGAAAAAACATATTTTGGAAGATATTCAAAAGAATAATCCTAAACTAAATTGTGCCACACTACATTACACAGACACAAACACTAATTATCCTCTAACACAGAAAACAGCACTAAACTCTCAATATTTGTGGAGCTGGGAAGTTCTTGCATGGAAGCATTAAGAAATCCCTGGAGCAGGTAGCAGGATGATTTTTCTTGCTATTTTGCAGCTTTTCCCATTTTTGTCAGTGTTTATTGAGAACAGCATTTTCTCAGCAATCAAACATCTGCCCCCCCTTTTACACCCCTCCCAGAACAGACAGACTTTCCACAGATGCAGCTGCTGGGAATTCAGTTACCCCACAAACATCTGAAGCTGCTCGTGGTAGAACCCACACTCCTTCTGAGCCTTTGAGGCACAAGAAAAGCTTTGGAATTTCCATCTGCCTTGTAGGGCAGCACTAAAGGTACAGTCCCTGAAACACCACAGTTCACCTACTGATGGTGTTCATTCACTCTTAAAGAAATAAAAATATCCTGTGGAACCTGATTGTTCCAAAATATCTGCAACTCCCGTGCCTCAGAATGGGTTTGTTTTCTGATTTATGGCAGTGTTATAAAGAGTGGCAGAGAATCCAGCACGGAGGGGAGGAGCAGCCAATATTAATTCTTGTTTTGCAGCACCAGATGGTTTCTCTCACGGCGGCTCCTCTGCAGAGCTGAGATCCACCTGCACCGAGGAGTTTCCCCCAGCCTGTGATTTTGACTCCTATCTGGATATCCTTTCTCAGGTGAACATCATGTATCCTGATCCACCTCCATGGTAAGCACTTGCCTGAGATTCTCAGGCTTACAGTCCTGCACTGGCAAAGCCCACTACACAAATTCAGCTCACACAAACTCTGAATACAGACACACCTCGTTTAGCTTGAGTGTAAGTTCAAGTTTTCATTAGCAGAACACATTATTACTAGATAAAGATGTGGACAGGAATTCTCATTCAGTGATATTCACATTAAAATTTATCATAGTGATGACATACTAATGAAACACACAAGTAGATTACAATAATATTCCTTCCAAAGAAGTGCATTTACAAATCAAAGTTTCAAAATCAAAAATACATACTTTTTCCAAGAACTTCAAGTTATATTTATTACTGGACTTGAGAGTGTTCAGATTAGAGGAAACAGAAAAACAAAATTCCAGAAATTATGTAGCAGCTCCTAAATAGTGTGCCCACTTTCACAGGGTACAGGAACAGCCTCGTGAGCCACAGGAGCTGCACTTTGGGCCATGGGCATCTCCTCCATGTGCCTCAGGCACCTTGAGGTCCAGAAATGAAGGAATTCAGTTACTCCCTCCAATGAACCAACAGAAATCATTTGAAGCAGAACATCACTTCAAGCTTGCTGTAGTGCTGTGTCTTACAAACAGCAAGCAAAGGTTAAACAGCCATGCTCCCCCTTTTTTTTTTCTTTTTTTCTTCATTTTAAGCAGACTGTGTTTTGAGTTAAACCCTCTAAGACCAGCCCTTTTCTGACTGTGATATAGAGCAACTCAGCACTATGAGCACACCAGACATGGATCTTGGCTTTGTTTATTCTGTGCATGTTCTACAAGCAGCCCATTATGTATTACCTACTCATCCTATATAACAAATGGGCTTTTAGGGATTGTGTAAATATTTTAGCAGAAAGCTCACAGGTGAAAAATTACTCTGAGGCTGGCATCTAAATGTGTAGAACTTCATATAAATCCACTTAGGAATTTAGAGTGGATTTTGGGCCTACACCCACGAGTCTTTAATAATAAAAGGCAGCCAGCTGACACCCAAGCAAGACTCTGAGAGGGCAGCTGGCCAGATTCCTGAGAACAAATTGACAGTATATTTCTTTAGCAGACATATCATCAAAGATTATACCAAAGGATGCTTCCATTTCCAGTCAGCAACTGGCAGAGAAGATTTGGAGATGTTTCCATCTCTATGGAGTTCTGTTGGAAACAGATAGGAGTGACACAGGATAGCACAGATTATCCACAGATTATCCACAGATTATCCTACCTGTTCTCAGAATATTCTGGGACACATAAAGGTATCCAGCCACTGCCTTCTCCAGGTTCCCTGCTGGGCTGAGTGGACTCTGTCCCTGAGGATCCACTCTGCACACACTGGCAAACACTGCTCATCCCAGTAATTACATCACAGGTCCAAAGTAATGATTATTGTTAATGGTTTGGCTGTTTTCTCACTGCTACTGCAGTTAAATATGTTAGAAAAAGTAGCTTTGGCAAATCATTAAAAATCTTTTAATAAATTTTGTCTTAGCAAGACAACTTGGGAATTTCAGGGAAAGCAGATAGCTGAAAGCAAAGCATGGAGAATGAAACTTGCTATTAATGCATTCTCCAGACCATTGTAACTGTTCAGAAAAGCACTGGGTGAGAGGCACTCTCTGAATTACTGCATTATGTAAAGCCTGAAAAATTCCTGTACATCTCTCTGTATATTCTCCTACATAGCATAACACTGCAGTGTCTATTTTTAATTAGTAGAGAATGGAGATTATTTGAAAGCTAACTGTCAGACATGGCCTGGAAGCAGAAACAAGACGTGCCTGACCTTGTGCATTTAAAATATTAACTCCTTGGGATCAATCTCATTGCATATGATAATATTTTGAAGAGTAGGTTTACTGAAACATAGCACTGCCTAAATGAATGCAATTCCTCCTCCTAATTCCTGGAGGGCAAGATGTAATTTAAAGCTAAACTAGCATGGCCAAAAGCTAATAATGCAGCTATGGCATCTGCAGAACAGAAATGAAGAGCAGCAAGGAAAGCAACTGCACTGCTAAATAACTCTTAAAAATCTGGAGTGAGAGAGTTCAGTGAGTTAAAAGCAGTGGGTGCTGCCAGGATAATTTCCTTTATCCACGTGCTGCTGGCATCCCAGCACCCAGACAGGAGTGTGCAGCCAGAGCTCCTCACACCATTCCTGCCAGACCACACTCCAGAAATGCTTTCAGTAGAAAGCACAATACCTTTATTTGGCCAAGGAGTGGTTAGTCTAGAATGTTTTAGTTAGATTTTACAGCTGACCTTTAAGCAACAAAATGAGTGGAAAAGAGATTTAAGGTGAAGGCTGATGGAACAGAGTCAGTCCCCGTATCTGTGGCTCAGGGAGAACTCCCTGTTCAGCCCTGCTCACTCTTAACTCTCCTGCTGGAAGTCCAATAACGCTGCTTATATAAAACATTATTTATAGAAAAGATGTTATTGGTAAATTAATCTATGAAAAATGACTTGGGATATTAATATTTGCTCTGATCTCTAAATCAAAAGTTTCATTTGAGACTCAATCTGATTATCCCCACAGACACTTCCACTAACCCCTTTCCTGCATGAGGTTTAGAGGGATGCCAGGCATGGAATTTGCTCATTAGCCTGCCATAGTTGCAGGGTGGTTACAGAGAAGCCATTTGGTCAATTTGTTCTGACAGCCCAAAATATACAGTGCTGCTATCCATAGAAATCCCTTTAGGACAGTTAATGGCTTTTTAATGAAACTCAGATCTGTGCTAGCATCTGTCACATCGATTTTACATGAGGTGTAGATGGGAAATATAAAACAAAATACAGGAGGTATGAACCAAACTGTTTCAGAATATGAGGGGTTTGTATTTCAGAGCATATTTCTGATATGTACAGACACTTGCAGCAGGACTGCAAGCTCATATTTCATAGTCTGTGTCACCAGACATGGCAAAGCCTTTGTTTCTAAGAAGCTCCATCTCAGAAAGATGATCCAAGTGATCTCCCAACAATTCTAAACCACAGAATTCTGATCCCTCCGAATGAGCAAACTGAACACATCCAACGAGGTCACAATACAAGCACAATCCCCCTGCCCCATCTTACCTATCATCATGGTAGCTATGACTTGGAAAGAAGCACTGGAAAGCCTGTAAATCCAATATTTGCCATTTTGTTCAACATTCTCTGTGCTGGTGTGAGTAACTGTGGGGATGAAACCTTCATAGCCAGAAATCACGAGCTCACGTTCACTGTGCTTGCTGAGTTCTTTGTAACACACACTTCTAGTGAGCATTGCTAATTATCTTCTTACAAATATGGAGTAAGAAAGCTGGTTTGAATAAATTGAGCTCACATGTTTGTGATTGAATGGGATTGAAATGGATTGAATTACAGTATCAACCAAAGTCCAAGTAAATTAAAAAGTATTACATTTTCTTTAGGAGAGTGAATAAAATCCAAACAATGAGGAAATTTCACAGCAGGAAAGGAATTTTATCAACTTCTCACCTTGTGGCCAGGTGAAATGCATCTCACCCCACTGCATAAGTGCTTTTCCACTCTTAGTGATTGGATATTAATGGTATGTACAGAGCTTTAGACAACCAAGAGTATTGCCTTTTGCATCTGAGACTCATGAGTGTATAACACAGAACATCCCTGAGGAATGACTGCTCAGGAGGATGCAGGGATTTCCCTTCAGGAATGGTTTTAATGGAAGCCACAGAAGGCTTCTCCATGCTTCACACTGAGTGTTCCCCACAGGGCACATGAAGATTAAAAACATTCAGCCCCCTCTATCCCAGTATTTATATTAAATCACATTGTGTGAGGGTTTGTTTGTGGGCTCACCTTTCCTCAGCTGGTCACCCTGCCTAATCTACACAGGATCTGTCCTAGACAAAATTGTCTTGTTCAGGCTTGATAGATCCCAGTATTCTCAGTAACCATGTTCAGCCTGCATTGCTTAAATGGGCAAATCAATTTAAAAATTACTTTAAAATGGCAAAAGGAAATGTTCCTGTCTTAAAGTCAGACAATAATTTCCCTTTAAATATACACTTTTAAAAGCCTACTTAAGGGACTTTCTTTTTTAAAACATTCTTTTCCATCTCCCACTTCTGAAGATGCAAGTTAGCCATGCCAGCCTCCTGGATTTTCTTAAAAGGCAGAATTAGGCAGAATTGACATCAGATCTTGCTATATTGTGCTGTATTCCTTTGCCAAGGCTGTTTTCCTGAGAGCAAACCAGTCAAGGAGCTTTTGCCACATTACAATGACAGCTGGAAAAGCATGAGATGGACATTTGGGGTTAAGTTCAGCTCTTACTTCAGCACTCCCAATGAGATTTTCAGTTAGTAAGGTAAAAAATGCCACTGGAAATATGACAAGTTTTAAGTCCATTCGATATCATGACATAAGCCAATACTCTAAATTCCTTTAACTCCAAATTCCAAACACTCTAAAGCCCCTCCCTTCATATCCCAGTGCTATTCCTCATCAGTATTAGGGATAGAAACAAGTCAATTCCTAATTATTCTGGCAAACTTCTTATTTCAGGCTTAACTTTGTTGAGAGTTTCTTTCTGTGGCATTTCCATTCCTCTTAATTATCCACACCTTTCTCTTTTTTCTTGTCTTTGTAGTCAAAAATGCTCTCACACCTCAGCCTGTGCGTTGGGAGGCTGAGGCACAAAATTCTCTTTGCTTTCTGACATCAGAAATATCTGTGAGGAGGCTGCACCTTCTGACCAGGCTCTCTTTAGCCCTGCCCCAGTTCCACTCTGGAGGTGCAAATTATTGCTGGTTAAAAAACACCTTGCAGCAGTGAAAGCAGCAACACCAAGGACTTCTAACCAGGAATCTACAGTGCCATGCAGAGCAACCACAACTTAGAGCTGTCAAACCTTTGATGACTGTACTTCAAAAACAAAGAGTCTTTTTCTCTGATTTCCCAGCTGCCAGACTTTCTGATGCATATTGCAGCCAGTATTTCCTTCACCTGCTC